TATCAGCATTATAATAAAATATCACAACTAGAACCATTGATACAGTTACGGTATCTTTTACTTAATTTTTCACACAGCGTTTTATAGCGTCTCTACTTCTTTTTATTTAGATAGCTTGTTACGTGTAGTTATGTGTGTTTACTGTGTGTATGTGTGTTTGGTTAGCAACTTGTGATGTATGCTCTGAAATGACAACGAAACGTAAGCACGCATTGACCGACGATCGACCGAAAAAATATACATACAATATATCGATACGATGCAACAACGAAATCAAGTCGACCTACTATAGGTGGTCCGCGCGCGTGCATTTTGTACCTCTTAAAATATTCGATATGTCACCCGCCTAAAGATTTCCGCTCTACGTTTATATTTCTTATTACGTATCGTAATCACCTGAAGAAAATAACACTTTAGCGAGATCTACAATAATTCGAACGCCACATCGTTCCTCGATAATCGAAATTCTATCGTCAGTCAAGACTTGCTCGTGAATGGAGTGAAAGAAACGTGACTAAAATCTGTCGATCTAATGATACATATATGAAACGTATACGAAAAAGAAGATGTGAAAAAACTTATCACTAAGCGTACTGTGACTATTATAACTCACGCACATACATGTGTATATGTGCGCACATTCGCACGCACACATACACATATCCAACATTACATGTAGGAGATGAAACCTAAAGATATGACTCTTTTTTTTTTCTCACGACTCTCACATAGAGAAGGGTATATGGTAGTTTTAATGCGACGCGAGTATCTCTATACTGTCATATGTGGAAGCATGTATGTATGTATGTATGTATGTACATATACAATTGGGTGTAAATTGATCGGTTACGTCGAAACCCAGGGATGAATATCAACACGTAACACGGTTTACGATGATTGTAACGCGCTTCACCGATAACGCGTTCAGTCTATGTCGAAGAAAAAGAAAAAACGACTTCCCAATCTACTTATATCCCTTTCTCTTTTCCCGTTACAATTAATTATCCAGTGTAAATATGATTATTCGTTAAACAGGCACATCGAGTTGGTTAAATATTTCTTTTTTTTTTTTTTTTCGTACAATGTGTAAACGTATCGATGCGTATACGAAAAAGGATATCGGGCAAATCGCTTGCCTTAAGACAAGGAGGGATAAACTGCGTAATTGTAGAAACAAAGAAGAGCAAGAAGAGAAACGAAGAAGTCTATAGACGTCGCTCTTTTGCCGAAACAAGTCCGACATCGTTACAGATTTACATCGATTCATCTGATGCCTCTCGATATAAAGGCACTCGAGAGATTTGCGAGGCTATCATGGACCCGATAGCCGTAACGGCCCTGCTCTATAAGTTAAATATAGTTAAATTGCAGCTGTATATATCGTTTGTTGCTTACTTATTGTATCACGTAAAGGGTTCTCTTCTCATGATACCGGTAACATGTGTTTAAAACTCCATTACACCCTACACTACACTTATATATATATATCTTCATTTATATATATATATTCTGTAATTTTCTCCTCTTTTCTCTTTCTCCCTTTCTTACTCTCTTTCATTCTCTCTCTTTCTCCCTCTCTCACTCTACGTGTAAAATATTTCTAATTAAACTCTGGACGTGAATCACTCTAAACAACATACCGCAATTAATTCCATATATGTCAAATATTATCGCGTTACAACTTTCTATACATTTATTAATAGAATTAGAGCAAAACAATGTCTAAGCGTTATTCCATAAAATCACGAAATACATGTATTAGCAGTTGCGTAAAATGACGCTGATATCTAAAAAACCATGTATGCGTATCGCGTCTACAATACCGCCTGAGAATGATGATATCTATTTTCTAGAAGTAAAATGAAAATCTTTCTCTCTCTCTCTCTCTCTCTCTCTCTCTCTCTCTCTCATTAATGTAAGAAACTGACTTTAGTTTAGATACTGACGTAGAAAATGCAACGAGGAAGAACGTGATTCGATGAGAAGAACGGAATTGTGAAAACTAGTTTCATGAAAACTCTATTTCTAAAAGAGAACTTTTCTCTCCTTTTCTCTCTCTCTCTCTCTAAACATTATTATTATTGAAAAAAAAAATCTATGTACGCGGAAATGTATGTAATATACGATTTGTGATATCCGCGAGAAATTCTTTAATATAAGACCCATTATTATATTTTATTGCTGTTTGGCATTTCTCTTTTATATAGGATGTGTTACTGCCTTTCTCTCTCCTTCACAACATTCGAAAAAAATTTCTCGGCTCTACTCCGAAAACAGAAACGCTTTCTCCAAATATCATTCCTTTTTCTGCTTCTCACTGACTTGTGCTATGTACTTGATGCGTACATTTTTTTTTTTTTTTTAATACAGCCTCCACCAAAATGCAAAGGATTATTGGAAAAAGAAATATTAACGAGAAATCATTAAACCTATATACAATTCATGAATCCTTCAAAACTGTGGTCACTCTATTTCGCTTTTTAGACCATAAACTTAAGGCAGATTGCCCGTAACATACTATTTATACAATTTAGATTTATAACAAAATATTAGGCATGAGAACAATGATGTAGCAACGATAATGGGAATGATAATGAAACTATAGCGATGAAAATGACGGTGACGATGGAAAAAATGATTGAAAATAATAACATAAAAATAAAATAAATAATAGGACTGTTCCAAAAAAGGCACGTCAAAGCTTTCGTCAATTCGGATGTCGTGCAATCATCTTAATAGATTCGTGGCTTGATTCTAAATTTCTTGTGTATTATTTTTTTGACGAGTACTCCTCATACGACTATACTTACGACAACCCGAATAATTTTCTATATACTCGAATCTATATCTACCTGAAATTTCGAATATTTAGTATAACTAAATAATATATGTACATGTTAACGTATACTTTGTGAGTAACACGCTGCAAACTATGAAAAATAATGTGATTATCTCGTTAGTCTTGAGTATCCGTTATGAATAAAATATCATAAAAGATTATAGCACACTATATCCCATAGCGAAATTCTTAATACAATCAAAAATCCCACGAACAACAAAATCGCGATCGCTATTGCAACGATCGAAAGAAATATAAAGTTCGTTAAAATGATTCTGTTAAGGGAGATTAAAAATAAGATACTCGCGCGCGCGACATTTTTTTGACATATCGTAAAGAAATGCATACTCATTCGTACTTTAAATTAAATCGCAAATATAAATCGCATATGAACGGTATTTGTTTGACAGTTTTACACGTGACTCGGCAATACCATTCCACGTGCATATTTCTATCATCAATATTGATGTTCCAAATCTATTTAAGTTACATGCCAGTTCTATATATGTATATATATATATATTTACAATAGAGAGAGAAACTATGCACATGTGAGCGTTAAATAGATCCGGGCATCTCGATAGAAAATTTTGGTCTGTACACACAATGTCCTTATAAACCTTACCTTTCGTAATAAAACTTCGGCATCTCTGGAAACTTACGAAATTTATACAGCATGCCGCATACGCCGAAATATATGTCTCTTTGAATTGAACAAAGAAAAAGAAAAGAAAAATTGTAATGAGATTTTTGTTTACATAAAATCGCTTGTCCAAAGATGATAATCCTTTTCTTTTCTAATCTCCTTATGAAATTGTCGCAATGAGACGCGATTGGATTGTTTCAAACACATAAGAGGCGTAACAAACATATATAAAGAGATCTAATTACATTGATCTCTTAGCGTTTCGCTTCCTATGAGAGAGCGGGGGTCGGAAGGGAGTGGTCGCTGCTTATATATATGTATATGTATATATATATATATATATAGGACGGATTGTCAAAAATTTTATCTTTAAACACATCTCTACTGCTCTCTGCTGCTTTTCATTCGGCAAACTTGCTCGATCGTAAATTCCTGTATAAGTGTATGCACAATATCGATTCGTATTCACAAATTGCAACAGTTCGGACGCTCCCACCCCGTTCCACTTACTGGCCAAGTGCACAAAAATGTGAAAAATGTGCACGACATACCTTTTTCTCCGTTATATTTAATCGATTACGCATTCGCTGATTGGCACAAGCGGCTCGTAAGTTCCCAGAAAATTCGTGCGATTACTTATTACGTTCGCTCGTACGATTCTTATCCACGACTCGATACCAAATAATTTATTCGGTGAACCATAAACCGGAAGGTTGATATTGATGTTTGGCTGGCGATAGCGGGGCCAATCCATAAACAGCTGTAGGCTGCATATGCGCAGGCAACGGATGTGCTGCGTGACTTGCCAGTAATGGTCTGGCCGAGCTGTGATGAGCTGGCGGTGGCAACGCTCGACTAGAATCATACAACGTTAATGGAGACGAGCTGTAAAAAACGGGATAACGCACATTAGAAAGTCTTCACAAAGTTCTAAAAAAGAAATAAATTTTTCTTATAATACATAAATTGGCCGATTCATGAGCATATTGAGAATAAACTCAGGAAATGGAAAATAGTTCAACTATTAATTTATTAATTGTTCAATTAATAATTATATAGTTAATTTCATTAATTATAAATATTTGAACAGTTAATATTAGAGCTAATAATTAACTATTGACTAGCTAGAATAAAGATAGTATAGATGGTAAAAAAGGCATGCATGCATCAACTAGTTTCCTAGTTACCCACCCGGGTGTGAATCCCTGATAGGTGGGCACTTGTTGCTGCTGAATAGCAGTAGCAGCCTGCGAGGGCGCGGCGGTAACGTACACAGGAGGCGGCACCGCATGAGCTCTCGAGCGAACGTGAGCGTATTCTTGATAGAGAGGTTGTCCCAAATGCTGGGCACTTCCTATCACAGGCCCACCGGCGGGACTTCTGCCACCGCCACTGCCGCCTGGACTCAGATGAGCCGGATGCCCGTGATGACTGTGGGTATGACCCGGATGGGCTGCCGTACCTACTACTTGGCTCTGCCTACAAACCACAAAACAAAATTCACCCCTCCTTTTATGGTTCACACGCTTCATTTCCTTACTGCAATACGTGAATGATTTAAAGATTTAAAGACATGCGCTTTCAACAAATTCGCAAACTCCTCTTTCAATTCTCTCGAAAGAGAAAAGAAACTAATTTATGGAAAATTTCATCCTACGGAGTCGCGGATAATTCACGGAATTGTATATTGAGTGCTTATCGTCGTTGGTTTTTAAATATCTTATTTTTAAAAAAAAAGCTCGCATACATGTTACACACTAGTTGCTCGAACAAGAACCGTCAATACATACAGTATCGCATAAACCATTCAAGAGATTTCATCTCATAATCATGTGCTTCGATTAAAAATACGGATGGGATAACAATCATGACGAAGAAAAATTCTCACCTATATTGATGCACAGGATTGGCTACTACCCACTTTTGATGGTCTCGAGAATGTGCAGCCGGTGGTTGAACATATTCATGCTTGTATTCAGCACGCTTTCCGGGCCAGGATACTCGTTTGTCCGTGCCAGTCGTATACACGATATGCTGCTCTTGGAGATGAGGATGCGCACTACTCGTGGTCACATACTGCAAGAAGTGGTCATGCATGTCATAGACGTCATCCTAGAAAAAATATTAACCAAAGAAAATTACTAAAAAAGAACAAAAAATACCCTGATAGCATACACGTGATCCAGGCCTTTCCTTCTTCCCTTCCAGCCTTTTTTCGACGGACGTTTCGCGAAATAAATGAACGAAATGTTTCCGCGATTCCGATAAAATTACAAATAAAAGAATAGAAACAAATTAAAAGTAAAATTGATTGAATAGGAATGTTAATTAACCTGATAGGTCGGTGGTTCTTTGCAAGCTGGCGCGTGACACGGATGTGGAGCAAGATACTCGACACCGGGTTCCGGTTTCGTCGCAACGTTCACCATGTTGCATTCGGACTGCACCTTCGCCAACAGCCGCTTTTTTTGTGACTGAGAAGAGTATCCTGAGCTACTGCTGCAAATAATAACAAGAAAAGTTAATCAAATATTTATTAATAATATATACATGTCATAAACAAAATATTATATATAAATAATATCATAGTAATAATATTATCTATTCAAAACCGTGGCCAAAGCAAAAAGTTTCTCTTAATATATTGTGTAATTATT